GCTCAGGAGTACTTCAGAAAACCACTGTCATTTACCACAGTCTGCAGCAGAGCAAAGGGCACGGGTGACTGGAATATGTGTGACGGTACCATTGACATGGAGGCACATACTGGGATTGTACAGATACTTATACTGCTATCAATGTGTCTTTCACGGGAAGTCCATGACTATTATACATTGTTCGAATTGAGGTGGGGGGGTCCCGGACCCCCCATAACACCCAAACAAATTTACTGGTTTTCCCCGTGGCTTTTCAATAAAACTATAATACTTGAAACTAGTGAAAATGTTTTGATTGCTTTATTAAACTTAGACCTGCTCATGCTATATCATATTTCTTTTTACACGTTTTTACAGCATTGCACATTATAACCAAATACATGTGATTCTGTTGAGCTTAGGAATGCAATGGCCAATCAGAGGCGTTCAGATGAATCGTCGCTGAAACCTCAGAGTTGTGTTCACTGCATGCTGAATTAATTCTGACTGAATCTCGTGAATTCTCTCATCATAAACAACAAAGTGCAGATGTACGTACGATGCAAGTAAGAGATGAATTTATCATACAGTGCATGGACAGCTTCATTGATTATAAGAGGAGCTATGAGCGCTTAAACACTAGCTAAACTGAGGTCCGTGATAATATTCTTTAATGTGAATATTCTTTGCTCGCTTTCTCCATAATTTACTCACTGTTTGAATAACTGTGGAAATGCACGTGTTATAATTAGTAACTTATGTTTTTATTAACCTGTGATCACATTAAATACAGTCATATTAAAATATTTCATGACAACTTGTCTGGTACTTGTCTAAACACACGGGTTTTGTAGATTACACTAACATTAGGCTAGATACTTAATTACTTGCTTATTGATTGTTTGGTACACCTAATTAACTGATATTTAATACGTTTTTATCTTAGAAATGAGGTTTTCTCAGTGATAACGAGGATAAGACAGAATATATGAATCATATTTATATAAAATGAATGCTGAGCAGCTGAAGTCTTGAATCAAGCGAGACTGGACAAAAATGTTGCTTGCAGAGCTTCCTAAATTGCTAAACAATTAAACATTGTAATTAAAATGACTGTTGATGTGACGGTATTAAACACGCCTTTTGGAGTGTGTTGCAGCCATCAAAATCTGTTCATATTTACAAAATACATTTACGTTGGTCAATGAAAACTTTGGAAATATTAAATATTTATTAAATAAAAGTTAAAGAAAATAAATCACAGATTCTTGATTTTTTTTTTTTTTTGGATCTTACAAAATGTCGAAATTGTGATAATTTCTGGGAACTTTTTAAACTGCAGGCAGACATTACGGTACACAGCAAATATTTTGAGTGTCTCTTATTTACTTGGAACGGTTTACAGAGAACAGTGCACTATCGCAGACCTATACTGGGTTTTTAATTACACTTTAATTGGTCATGAACTAAAGTGGGCCAGTGTAAGGCATGAAACTCTACGGCCCCGACACAACTGCACAAGTCCAAAAGCGGAACTAATTAAATAATTAAAGAGGAATAAATTAATCTATACCGAAGTTATCTTACAGGAAGAAACGTAGAAGACGAGACGCTTCACCGGCGATCGAGACAGAGGCATTTATTCACAAATCTATGCTAATTATCAAAGAGATGTGGACGCTTCTGATTGCATGTTTTCACAGACTGAACCCAGAAACCCGTCTATGATTGGACAACTCGAAGTATCACGAGCGGAACGAGGGGCCAATCACAGGCGGTGAAATGATAGCCCCGCCCAGTGTTTGAACGCCCACCTAACGGTTTTCTTTGTTTCAATTCCCGCTCTTTTTGTTAGTTATTCTATCTAAGAAAACATGTCTGAAATATCACTCAAGATCAATATCAGTGCAATTCTTAAAAACCTCTAATAAACCCGTTGAGAGGATTCGGAGAAAATAAAACATTAACGATTAAACACTATTCTCCTGTGCTGTCCTGCTAATCTCTCTTCGTCTCAAACTGAAGTATCTTTGCCATCCGATTGTCGTCTTCATTGTAGAATTCAATTTAAATTAAATGCTAAACAAGCAAATAGAAAATGCCATTCAACACAAATAAACACGCTCTCATTGACAGCAATGTATAACACTATACGAGCTCTAATTTTGAGAATCAGAGTAAAAATAAGATTTATCGTCAGGTACGTTAATACGTACGAGCAATTTGTTTTAGTGACAGAAGAAACGAACGAGTCACAAAAGACGGAGAGAAAAACACCGAAGAACCATTGCTCGGTTCACAACAAGAATACACTTAAAGTTATATTATCGGTGCAACACCAACAATTAACCAGTTTCAATAGAAAAAAAAAAAAAAAAGGAAAA